GTGTGTGTTAGTGTAGCTGTGTGTGTGTTAGTGTAGCTGTGTGGTGTGTTAGTGTAGCTGTGTGTGTGTTTAGTGTAGCTGTGTGTGTGTTAGTGTAGCTGTGTGTGTGCTAGTGTAGCTGTGTGTGTGTTAGTGTAGCTGTGTGTGTTAGTGTAGCTGTGTGTGTGTGTTAGTGTAGCTGTGTACGTGTTAGTGTAGCTGTGTGTGTTAGTGTAGCATGTGTGTGTGTTAGTGTAGCTGTGTGTGGTAGTGTAGCTGTGTGTGTGTTAGTGTAGCTGTGTTGTAGTGTAGCTGTGTGTGTGTGTTAGTGTCGCTGTGTGTGTGTGTTGTGTAGCTGTGTGTGTGTTAGTATAGCTGTGTGTGTTAGTGTAGGTGTGTGTGTGTGTTAGTGTAGCTGTGTGTGTTAGTGTAGCTGTGTGTGTGTTAGTGTAGCTGTGTGTGTGTTAGTGTAGCTGTGTGTGTGTTAGTGTAGCTGTGTGTGTGTGTTAGTGTAGCTGTGTGTGTGTTAGTGTAGCTGTGTGTGTTAGTGTAGCTGTGTGTGTGTTAGTGTAGCTGTGTGTGTGTTAGTGTAGCTGTGTGTGTTAGTATAGCTGTGTGTGTGTGTTAGTGTAGCTGTGTGTGTGTTAGTGTAGCTGTGTGTGTGTTAGTGTAGCTGTGTGTGTTAGTGTAGCTGTGTGTGTGTTAGTGTAGTTGTGTGTGTTAGTGTAGCTGTGTGTCTTAGTGTAGCTGTGTGTCTTAGTGTAGCTGTGTGTGTGTTAGTGTAGCTGTGTGTTAGTGTAGCTGTGTGTGTGTTAGGGTAGCTGTGTGTGTTAGTGTAGCTGTGTGTGTTAGTGTAGCTGTGTGTGTTAGTGTAGCTGTGTGTGTTAGTGTAGCTGTGTGTGTTAGTGTAGCTGTGTGTGTTAGTGTAGCTAGTGTGCGTGTTAGTATAGCTGTGTGTGTGGTTAGTGTAGCTGTGTTGTGTGTGTGTTAGTGTAGCTGTGTGTTGTGTGTGTTAGTGTAGCTGTGTGCGTGTTAGTGTAGCTGTGTGTGTGTGTTAGTGTAGCTGTGTGTGTGTGTGTGTTAGTGTAGCTGTGTATGTGTTAGTGTAGCTGTGTGTGTGTTAGTGTAGCTGTGTGTGTTAGTGTAGCTGTGTGTGTGTGTTAGTGTAGCTGTGTGTGTGTGTTAGTGTAGCTGTGTGTGTGTGTTAGTGTAGCTGTGTGTGTGTGTGTTAGTGTAGCTGTGTGTGTGTTAGTGTAGCTGTGTGTGTGTGTTGCTGTAGCTGTGTGTGTGTGTTAGTGTAGCTGTGTGTGTGTGTTGCTGTAGCTGTGTGTGTGTGTTAGTGTAGCTGTGTGTGTGTTAGTGTAGCTGTGTGTGTGTTAGTGTAGCTGTGTGTGTGTGTGTAGCTGTGTGTGTGTTAGTGTAGCTGTGTGTGTGGGTTAGTGTACCTGTGTGTGTTAGTGTAGCTGTGTGCGTGTGTTTGTGTAGCTGTGTGTGTGTTAGTGTAGGTGTGTGTGTGTGTGTTAGTGTAGCTGTGTGTATGTTAGTGTAGCTGTGTGTGTGTTAGTGTAGCTGTGTGTGTTAGTGTAGCTGTGTGTGTTAGTGTAGCTGTGTGTGTTAGTGTAGCTGTGTGCGTGTTAGTGTAGCTGTGTGTGTTTTCGTGTAGTTGTGTGTGTGTTAGTGTAGCTGTGTGTGTTAGTGTAGCTGTGTGTGTTAGTGTAGCTGTGTGTGTGTTAGTGTAGCTGTGTGTGTGTTAGTGTAGCTGTGTGTGTGTTAGTGTAGCTGTGTGTGTTAGTGTAGCTGTGTGTGTGTTAGTGTAGGTGTGTGTGTTAGTGTAGCTGTGTGTGTTAGTGTAGCTGTGTGTGTGTTAGTGTAGCTGTGTGTGTGTTAGTGTAGCTGTGTGTGTTAGTGTAGCTGTGTGTGTGTGTTAGTGTAGCTGTGTGTGTGTTAGTGTAGCTGTGTGTGTTAGTGTAGCTGTGTGTGTGTTAGTGTAGCTGTGTGTGTTAGTATAGCTGTGTGTGTGTTAGTGTAGCTGTGTGTGTGTTAGTGTAGCTGTGTGTGTTAGTGTAGCTGTGTGTGTGTTAGTGTAGTTGTGTGTGTTAGTGTAGCTGTGTGTGTTAGTGTAGCTGTGTGTGTTAGTGTAGCTGTGTCTGTTAGTGTAGCTGTGTGCGTGTTAGTGTAGCTGTGTGCATGTTAGTATAGCTGTGTGTGTGTGTTAGTGTAGCTGTGTGTGTGTTAGTGTAGCTGTGTGTGTGTGTTAGTGTAGCTGTGTGCGTGTTAGTGTAGCAGTGTGTGTGTGTTAGTGTAGCTGTGTGTGTGTGTGTTAGTGTAGCTGTGTATGTGTTAGTGTAGCTGTGTGTGTGTTAGTGTAGCTGTGTGTGTTAGTGTAGCTGTGTGTGTGTGTTAGTGTAGCTGTGTGTGTGTGTTAGTGTAGCTGTGTGTGTGTTAGTGTAGCTGTGTGTGTGTGTTAGTGTAGCTGTGTGTGTGTGTTAGTGTAGCTGTGTGTGTGTGTTGCTGTAGCTGTGTGTGTGTGTTAGTGTAGCTGTGTGTGTGTGTGTTGCTGTAGCTGTGTGTGTGTGTGTTAATGTAGCTGTGTGTGTGTTAGTGTAGCTGTGTGTGTGTTAGTGTAGCTGTGTGTGTGTGTAGCTGTGTGTGTGTTAGTGTAGCTGTGTGTGTGGGTTAGTGTACCTGTGTGTGTTAGTGTAGCTGTGTGCGTGTGTTAGTGTAGCTGTGTGTGTTAGTGTAGCTCTGTGTGTTAGTGTAGCTGTGTGTGTGTTAGTGTAGGTGTGTGTGTGTTAGTGTAGCTGTGTGTATGTTAGTGTAGCTGTGTGTGTGTTAGTGTAGCTGTGTGTGTTAGTGTAGCTGTGTGTGTTAGTGTAGCTGTGTGCGTGTTAGTGTAGCTGTGTGCGTGTTAGTGTAGTTGTGTGTGTGTTAGTGTAGCTGTGTGTGTTAATGTAGCTGTGTGTGTGTTAGTGTAGCTGTGTGTGTGTTAATGTAGCTGTGTGTGTGTTAGTGTAGCTGTGTGTGTTAGTGTAGCTGTGTGTGTTAGTGTAGCTGTGTGTGTGTTAGTGTAGCTGTGTGTGTGTGTTAGTGTAGCTGTGTGTGTGTGTTAGTGTAGCTGTGTGTGTTAGTGTAGCTGTGTGTGTGTTAGTGTAGCTGTGTGTGTTAGTGTAGCTGTGTGTGTTAGTGTAGCTGTGTGTGTTAGTGTAGCTGTGTGTGTGTTAGTGTAGCTGTGTGTGTGTTAGTGTAGCTGTATGTGTTAGTGTAGCTGTGTGTGTATGTTAGTGTAGCTGTGTGTGTTAGTGTAGCTGTGTGTGTTAGTGTAGCTGTGTGTGTTAGTGTAGCTGTGTGTGTTAGTGTAGCTGTGTGTGTTAGTGTAGCAGTGTCTGTTTGTGTGTTGGTGCACGTGGGGAGCGGTGGTGCAGCGGTTAGCGCTACGCTGCGCTATGAACCCGGCGACCCGAATTCGATTCCCGCTCACAGCCAACACCACCGGTGACGATTCTCTGAATCGGTCCTGGGCCACCCCTACGTCGACTCAGCCTCAAATGGTTACCTGGTGCGGTGTGCAGTAAACATCGCCACTGGGTAGAAGGCTGCTCGCTAACAGCACTTGCCCCTATAGTCTTTTGAGGCTATGCGGGGGATCTTTGTCTTTGTGTAGATTGGTGGTTTGGTGTGGATTTGGTTGAGTGATGTGTGTGGTGTATATGGGAGGAGTGGTGTATATGGGTTGAGTGTTGTATATGGGTTGAGTGATGTGTGTGGTGTATATGGGATGAGACCGGTGTATATGGGATGAGTGAAGTGTGTGTTGTATATGTGATGTGTGTGGTGTATATGGGTTGTGTGTGGTTTATATGTGATGTGTGTGGTGTATATGGGATGAGTGGTGTATATGGCATGAGAGCGATGTATATGGGATGATTGATGTGCGTGGTGTATATGGGATGTGTGTGGTGTATATGGGATGAGTGAAATGTGTGGTGTATATGTGATGAGTGAAATGTGTGGTGTATATGTGACGATTGATGTGCGTGGTGTATATGTGAAATGTGTGGTGTATATGTGATGATTGATGTGCGTGGTGTATATGTGACGTGTGTGGTGTATATGTGATGTGTGTGGTGTATATGTGATGATTGATGTGCGTGGTGTATATCTGATGTGTGTGGTGTATATGTGATGTGTGTGGTGTATATGTGATGATTGATGTGCGTGGTGTATATGTGATGTGTGTGGTGTATATGGGATGTGTGTGGTGTATATGTGATGATTGATGTGCGTGGTGTATATGTGATGAGTGAAATGTGTGGTGTATATGTGATGATTGATGTGCGTGGTGTATATGTGATGAGTGAAATGTGTGGTGTATATGTGATGATTGATGTGTGTGGTGTATATGTGAAATGTGTGGTGTATATGTGATGATTGATGTGCGTGGTGTATATGTGATGTGTGTGGTGTATATGTGATGTGTGTGGTGTATATGTGAAATGTGTGGTGTATATGTGATGATTGATGTGCGTGGTGTATATGTGATGAGTGAAATGTGTGGTGTATATGTGATGTGTGTGGTGTATATGTGACGTGTGTGGTGTATATGTGACGTGTGTGGTGTATATGTGATGTGTGTGGTGTATATGGGATGTGTGTGGTGTATATGGGATGATTGATGTGTGTGGTGTATATGTGAAATGTGTGGTGTATATGTGATGTGTGTGGTGTATATGTGATGTGTGTGGTGTATATGTGATGATTGATGTGCGTGGTGTATATGTGATGTGCGTGGTGTATATGTGATGATTGATGTGTGTGGTGTATATGTGAAATGTGTGGTGTATATGGGATGTGAGTGGTGTATATGGCATGAGAGCGATGTATATGTGATGTGCGTGGTGTATATGTGATGTGCGTGGTGTATATGTGATGTGGACCCACGTAGAACCTATCGGAAGTCTCGCCCCTCCCTCCCTCTCCTCGCTCCCGCTCCCCGCCCCCCCCGCCCCGCCCCCCCCCGCCAGGCCAGTTCTGCACGGAGGACGTTGATGAGTGCCACCTGCAGCCCAACACGTGCCTCAACGGGGGCACGTGCCACAACACGCCGGGCGGGCACAACTGCGTGTGCGTCAACGGCTGGAGCGGCGACTCCTGTGCCGACAATGTGGATGACTGTGCTAGCGCCTCATGCACCAACGGAGCCACCTGCCACGACCGAGTCGCCTCCTTCTACTGCGAGTGTCCCAGCGGCAAGACCGGTACGGGGGGGGTGGTGGTGGTGTGGTGGTGGTGTGGTGGTGGTGGGTGGTAGGGGCTGTGGGTGGTGTGGTGGTGGGGTGGTGGTGGTGGTGTGGGTGGTGGTGGTGGTGGTGTGTGGTGTGGTGGGTGGTAGTGTGGTGGTGTGGTGGTGTGGTGGTGGTGGTATGTGGTGGTGGGTGGTGGTGGTGTGGTGGTGGTGTGGTGGTGGTGGTGGTGGTGTGGTGGTGTGGTGGTGTGGTGGTGTGGTGGTGGTGGTGTGGTGGTGGTGGTGGTGGTGGTGGTGTGGTGGTGTGGTGTGGTGGTGTGGTGGTGTGGTGGTGTGGTGGTGTGGTGGTGTGGTGGTGTGGTGGTGTGGTGGTGTGGTGGTGTGGTGGTGTGGTGGTGTGGTGGTGTGGTGGTGTGGTGTGTGGTGGTGTGGTGGTGTGGTGGTGTGGTGGTGTGGTGGTGTGGTGGTGTGGTGGTGTGGTGGTGTGGTGGTGTGGTGGTGTGGTGGTGTGGTGGTGGTGTGGTGGTGGTGTGGTGGTGGTGTGGTGGTGGTGTGGTGGTGGTGTGGTGGTGGTGTGGTGGTGGTGGTATGTGGTGGTGGGTGGTGGTGGTATGTGGTGGTGGGTGGTGGTGGTATGTGGTGGTGGGTGGTGGTGGTATGTGGGGGTGGGTGGGGGTGGTGGGGTGGTGGTGGTGGTGGTGTGGTGGTGTGGTGGTGGTGGGTGGTGGTGTGGTGTGGTGTGGGTGGTAGGGGTTGTGGTGTGGGTGGTAGGGGTTGTGGTGTGGGTGGTAGGGGCTATGGGTGTGGGTGGTAGGGGTTGTGGGTGGTGTGGGTGGTAGGGGCTGTGGTGTGGGTGGTAGGGGCTGTGTGTGGTGGTGGTGGTGGGTGGTGGTGTGGTGGTGGTGGTGGTGGGTGGTGTGGGTGGTGTGGGTGGTAGGGGTTGTGGGTGTGGGTGGTAGGGGCTGTGGTTGTGGGTGGTAGGGGTTGTGGGTGGTAGGGGCTGTGGGTGGTAGGGGCTGTGGTGTGGGTGGTAGGGGCGTGGGTGGTGTGGGTGGTAGGGGTTGTGGGTGTGGGTGGTAGGGGTTGTGGGTGGTGTGGGTGGTAGGGGCTGTGGGTGGTTGTCGTGGTGGGTGGTAGGGGGGTTGTGGTGTGGTGTGGTGGTGGTAGGGGTTGTGGATGTGGGTGGTAGGGGTTGTGGGTGTGGGTGGTAGGGGCTGTGGTGTGGGTGGTAGGGGCTGTGGGTGGTGTGGGTGGTAGGGGCTGTGGTGTGGGTGGTAGGGGCTGTGTGTGGTGGGTGGTTTGGGTGGTAGGGGTTGTGGGTGTGGGTAGTAGGGGCTGTGGTGTGGGTGGTAGGGGGGTTGTGGGTGGTACGGGGGGGTTGTGGGTGGTAGGGGGGGTTGTGGTGTGGTGTGGTGGTGGGTGGTAGGGGTTGTGGGTGGTGTGGGTGGTAGGGGCTGTGGTGTGGGTGGTAGGGGCTGTGGTGTGGGTGGTAGGGGCTGTGGTTGTGGGTGATAGGGGCTGTGGTTGTGGGTGGTTGGGGCTGTCGTTGTGGGTGGTAGGGGGGCTGTGGGTGTGGGTGGTAGGGGCTGTAGGTGTGGGTGGTAGGGGCTGTGGTGTGGGTGGTAGGGGCTGTGGTGTGGGTGGTAGGGGCTGTGGTTGTGGGTGATAGGGGCTGTGGTTGTGTGTGGTAGGGGCTGTCGTTGTGGGTGGTAGGGGGGCTGTGGGTGTGGGTGGTAGGGGCTGTGGGTGTGGGTGGTAGGGGCTGTGGTGTGGGTGGTAGGGGCTGTGGTGTGGGTGGTAGGGGCTGTGGTGTGGGTGGTAGGGGCTGTGGTTGTGGGTGATAGGGGCTGTGGTTGTGTGTGGTAGGGGCTGTCGTTGTGGGTGGTAGGGGGGCTGTGGGTGTGGGTGGTAGGGGCTGTGGGTGTGGGTGGTAGGGGCTGTGGTGTGGGTGGTAGGGGCTGTGGTGTGGGTGGTAGGGGCTGTGGTGTGGGGGGTAGGGGCTGTGGTTGTGGGTGATAGGGGCTGTGGTTGTGTGTGGTAGGGGCTGTCGTTGTGGGTGGTAGGGGGGCTGTGGGTGTGGTTGGTAGGGGCTGTGGGTGTGGGTGGTAGGGGCTGTGGTGTGGGTGGTAGGGGCTGTGGTGTGGGTGGTAGGGGCTGTGGTGTGGGTGGTAGGGGCTGTGGTTGTGGGTGATAGGGGCTGTGGTTGTGTGTGGTAGGGGCTGTCATTGTGGGTGGTAGGGGGGCGTGGGTGTGGGTGGTAGGGGCTGTGGGTGTGGGTGGTAGGGGCTGTGGTGTGGGTGGTAGGGGCTGTGGTGTGGGTGATAGGGGCTGTGGGTGTGGGTGGTAGGGGCTGTGGTGTGGGTGGTAGGGGCTGTGGTTGTGGGTGGTAGGGGCTGTGGTTGTGGGTGGTAGGGGCTGTGGGTGTGGGTGGTAGGGGCTGTGGTGTGGGTGGTAGGGGCTGTGGTGTGGGTGGTAGGGGCTGTGGTGTGGGTGGTAGGGGCTGTGGTTGTGGGTGGTAGGGGCTGTGGTTGTGTGTGGTAGGGGCTGTGGTTGTGGGTGGTAGGGGGGCTGTGGGTGTGGGTGGTAGGGGCTGTGGGTGTGGGTGGTAGGGGCTGTGGTTGTGGGTGGTAGGGGCTGTGGTGTGGGTGGTAGGGGCTGTGGTTGTGGGTGGTAGGGGCTGTGGTGTGGGTGGTAGGGGCTGTGGTGTGGGTGGTAGGGGCTGTGGCGTGGGTGGTAGGGGCTGTGGTTGTGGGTGGTAGGGGCTGTGGGTGTGGGTGGTAGGGGCTGTGGTGTGGGTGGTAGGGGCTGTGGTGTGGGTGGTAGGGGCTGTGGTGTGGGTGGTAGGGGCTGTGGTGTGGGTGGTAGGGGCTGTGGTGTGGGTGGTAGGGGCTGTGGGTGTGGGTGGTAGGGACTGTGGTGTGGGTGGTAGGGGTTGTGGTGTGGGTGGTAGGGGTTGTGGGTGTGGGTGGTAGGGGCTGTGGTTGTGGGTGGTAGGGGCTGTGGTGTGGGTGGTAGGGGCTGTGGTGTGGGTGGTAGGGGCTGTGGGTGGTTGTCGTGGTGGGTGGTAGGGGGGTTGTGGTACGGGGTGGTGGGTTGAAGGGGTGGTGGGTGGTAGGGGTGGTGGGTTGTAGGGGTGGTGGGTGGTAGGGGTGGTGGGTGGTACGGGTGGTGGGTGGTACGGGTGGTGGGTGGTAGGGGTGGTGGGTGGTAGGGATGGTGGGTGGTAGGGGTGGTGGGTGGCAGGGGTTGTGGGTGGTACGGGTTGTGGGTGGTAGGGGTGGTGGGTGGTGGTGGTAGGGGTGGTGGTTTTAGGGGTGCTGGGTGGGTGGTGGGTAATTGTATGGGTGGTGGGTGGTCGTGTTGGGTGGGTGTTGGGTGTGTGGTGTGTGGGGGGTAGGGGTAGTGGGTTGTAGGGGTTGTGGGTGGTAAGGATGGTGGGTGGCAGGGGTGGTGGGTGGTAGGGGTTGTGGGTGGTAGGGGTGGTGGGTGGTGGTGGTGGTGGTGGTGGTGGTAGGGGTGGTGGTAGGGGTGGTGGTAGGGGTGGTGGTGTTAAGGGTGGTGGGTGGCGGTGGTGGTAGGGGTGGTGGTGAGTGGGTGGTGGGTAATTGTGTGGGTGGTGGGTGGTCGTGTTGGGTGGGTGTTGGGTGTTTGGTGTGTGGGGGGGTAGGGGTAGTGGGGGAGGGGCATGGGCGGTCGGAGCGGGTTGGGTGGAGGTGCCAGTTGCTTTAGGATCGCAGAGCTCAGTGAAATGCATTGGATGTAAACCGAGTGTTTAAAACATTCGCAATGTATATTGCCCGTGAAGGGAATGAGATGGAACAGATGGAGATTAGTCGACACGCGCCCTGCTGTAGAAGGGAGTGAGATGGAACAGACGGAGATTAGTCCACACACACCCTGCTGTAGAAGGGAGTGAGATGGAACAGATGGAGATTAGTCCACACACACTCTGCTGTAGAAGGGAGTGTAATGGAACAGATGGAGATTAGTCCACACACCTTCTGCTGTAGAAGGGAGTGAGATGGAACAGATGGAGATTAGTCCATACACCCTCTGCTGTAGAAGGGAGTGAGATGGAACAGATGGAGATTAGTCCACACGCACTCTGCTGTAGAACGGAGTGAGATGGAACAGATGGAGATTAGTCCACACACACTCTGCTGTAGAAGGGAGTGAGATGGGACAGAGGGAGATTAGTCCACACTCTGCTGTAGAAGGGAGTGAGATGGAACAGATGGAGATTAGTCCACACACCCTCTGCTGTAGAAGGGAGTGAGATGGAACAGATGGAGATTAGTCCACACGCACTCTGCTGTAGAACGGAGTGAGATGGAACAGATGGAGATTAGTCCACACACACTCTGCTGTAGAAGGGAGTGAGATGGGACAGAGGGAGATTAGTCCACACTCTGCTGTAGAAGGGAGTGAGATGGAACAGATGGAGATTAGTCCACACACACTCTGCTGTAGAAGGGAAAGAGATGGAACAGATGGAGATTAGTCCACACACACCCTGCTGTAGAAGGGAGTGAGATGGAACAGATGGAGATTAGTCCACACACACTCTGCTGTAGAAGGGAGTGAGATGGAACAGATGGAGATTAGTCCACACACCCTCTGCTGTAGAAGGGAGTGAGATGGAACAGATGGAGATTAGTCCACACACACTCTGCTGTAGAAGGGAGTGAGATGGAACAAATGGAGATTAGTCCACACACACTCTGCTGTAGAAGGGAGTGAGATGGAACAGATGGAGATTAGTCCACACACACTCTGCTGCAGAAGGGAGTGAGATGGAACAGATGGAGATTAGTCCACACACACTCTGCTATAAAAGGGAGTGAGATGGAACAGATGGAGATTAGTCCACACACACTCTGCTGTAGAAGGGAGTGAGATGGATCAGATGGAGATTAGTCCACACACACTCTGCTATAAAAGGGAGTGAGATGGAACAGATGGAGATTAGTCCACACACCTTCTGCTGTAGAAGGGAGTGAGATGGAACAGATGGGGATTAGTCC